GGGGGCAAGGGGCCGGGCCCCGGGGGTCCCAGCCGCAGCCGCACCGCCTCGTCCGCACGTGTGGTGAACAGGGTCTCCGCCGGCGCCACGGGACCGCTGCAGCCCCCTGTGGGCAAGAGGGCAGGGCGGTCGTGGGCACCTGGCACCGGCTAGGTGCTGCACATGGCCCTGAGGGACGGGTCCTGTGCCAGGCACTGCCGTCTGCAATAGGATTTCATCACAGATGCCTCCCAAAGACATGGAGGTGACAACCCCTGACTGAGCCCCGCAGCACATGGCTGCTGCCAAGGGGTGATGGATGCTGGCTCCCAGGGGTGCAGGCGTGGCTGGAGCAGAAAGGAGACAAGGAAAGGGCCAGCAGCTGAGCTGGGACAGGGACAGGGCACAGTCTGCATGCAGGGCCCAGGCAGGATGTTGGGGGCACGCTGCAGGCACAAGACCCCGGCATGGGGCTGGGGCTAGAGAGCAGGGAGTAGGGACATGGGATCACAGAGCAGACAGAGGCCTTCCGGGCTCTGAGCCCCGTCCCCGGGGTCCCCGAGCAGCCACTGACCCGGGGATCCTGTGACTTGCCCACTCCACCGAGGCACCTCGCAGCTACAGAGCGCCGAGGAGAGCCGAGCCCCCGGCCGGAGCCCCAAACCCCAGCTGCAAGAGTCTGCTCCAGCCTCCGCTACAGGAAAAGAGCCCTGAGCCCTGAGTCGAGGAGAGCGGGGCTGGTGGTACACCCTGAGCCTGGGGATGCTGCCGTGGGTATGAGCCCCCACAGGTGTCTGGGCAGAGGCAGCAGAATGGGCCCTGGCAGAGATGTCATGAGGGGGCCCACAGCCAGGATGGGGGACACGATCTCCAGGCCAGAGCCAGGCTGAGACCCGACTCTCACCTGCGACTGACATCAGGATGCCTGGAGGTGGGGCGGGGGCTGCCTGCCCGCTCTCCCCCCGGCACTGGGGCGACCCCCAGCAATAGGCCTGGGCAGGCGGCAGGTTCGGAGGGGGCTCTTCTGCTTGGGCCGACGGGCGCCCGCTCCCTGCATCCGGCTCCTGCACGGCCATCCCAGGCTGGCCCCCAGGTGCCAGCGCGCAGCCAGGTCCAGCCGTGCCCAGGCCGTCAGCGCTGGTGATGGTCAGCGGCTGCGCAGCTCCCTCTGGCTCCCTGCTGCGTGGGGAGAGACCGGGGCTGGGGAGAGACCGGGGCAGGGCCCACCCCACATCCTGCCCAGCACCCCCGAGCCCTCCCCTGCCCATAAGTGTCCTGTGCCAGGCCTGCCAGCACCGGGGCTGGGACCCTCCCCGCAGCGAGGGCAGGGCAGGAGCCAGTGTGTCTCTGCCCAGCTGCCCCGGCCCCGCCACGGCCCTTCTGTCCCAGGGGTCAGCGCGGTGCCCAGGGCAGCCCCTGCCCCGCCTGTGCACCCGGCGTGCTCTCTCACCTGGGGGGAGCTGGCTGGGTGCTGAGGGGCATGGTGACCAGATGAGCCATGCCCGGCACAGCCCGCTCCTCAGCCCGGGTCCCACGCTTTGGCTCGCCGCTCCCTGTGGGGACAGGCACGAGAACCATGCTGGGAGCTGTGGGTGCATTGGGCCCTGAGGTCTGGGTGCTGAGAGGAGAGGCCATACGCTGGATAAGGGCTGGTGAACCGCAATGGGGCAGAGACACGGGAGGGAACCCAGCAGGGCAGGCTGCAAAGTGTCTCCTGCATGTGGGTGGAAACACAAGGAGCAAGGAAGAAGCAGGAGGAACTGGGCATCTGGGTTTGTAAATCTGTGACATCGTGGGGGTTATAGATGTAGCGGGCAAACTGAGTTATGCTAAGGCTATTAGCCAGTAGTCCAGGCCTTCCCAAAAATAAGCAAGAAAATTGAACAGAGCACCTTACAATGCATTAGAAGAAGTAAGTGCTGTAATTGGAGAACTGTAAGCGAGGAATGTATAGCAC